CCGTCGCATACGGGACCGCAGTGATCATCAGCACCTCCGTGGACACCCACCGGGTTCACGTTTGAAAGTCACAAGTGTTTATACGGAATCGTACGTGGGTGTGTGCGCGGAAAGACATGTCTCCAATGGATGGGGAGATGGCGTGCATGTTCTACCCTACTTGACTCCTCTTTCTCTCCTCTGTCCCTCACCAGCCGGATCAACCTTTGAGCCACCAAGGAGCTGCGATCACCCGTGGGCGCATTTTTGCCGGCTGTTTAGTGACAGCAGTAGCCGTTCTCGAACATAGCCCCGAAACTGTGCACAAGTCTGTGGTGTGCAATGAAGGTGGGTGACATTCATTGCTCGACTATCGGACCCCAGCTCTGGAGGCTCCCTCACAGATACACACCCTTTCAGGCGGACGATACTATCAAAACAGGAAAGGGAACCAAGCTAGCCCTTAGCCTGGCTGCTGTCATTGACTGCTCATCGTTCATTGGCATATTGGCACCGAGTGCGAGAAGGACATCTCACTCAACCGTTTCAGACATGGGGTAGTGCTCTCAAGCTCACCCACTACGAATTGCCACTGATACTGGGCGTACACAAAGCTATGCCCAGCAGCAGTCGGAGATTTTTCTCCACGTTGGTAGTTGAGCCTTGCTCTACCATGCCGTGGAACAATTGTGAACCAGTCTGAATGTTTACAACTCAAGATATGGAATCCAGATCACCTTTGTGTATCAACTAACCTAGTTGGATGCTGCTCGCTGCTACTGCTACTGCTACTGCTACTGCTACTGCTACTGCTACTGCAATGGAATCTTTGAGTTGATAATTTTGATACCGCGTTAAACGCCTGGTGGTGACTTGATTCACAGCGGCAAGAACCAAGTTTTTTGAACCTATCCCATAATCACACCACAACACCATCCTCAACGGCAGATGTACACAGTGATGAGATACTGACTGCTACCGCCACAAAAGCTGTCGGTTCTCTTCTTGCTTTTTCTGATGGGCGTTATGCGCAGTGCGAGTCACTAGTGTCATCCCCCTTCTATGAGATTATGAAATAAGAAGTCCCTCATTGCAGGGACCTGGACCCTTATACTAACCCCAAGACCGTCGCACCTGCAGTATCTCCATGCCATTTCCTGTTTTGTGTGCCATGTTTTTCAACTCTCAGAGTCTTTCGGTTTTCAGGTTAGAGCAGCTGATCCCGCGAGGCTCAGCTTACATAGTGAGGTATGTCTGGTCACGATGTTCAAGGGCTGGAAATGTCATGTGAGAGAGCATGTACATAGTATGCCGGTGGATGTTCTCCCAGAGAAGACCTGCTTGTATTTTCTAGCTTGCATACACAAGGCTGGCTAAGTCTCCTCACTCATATCGGGTGGTCATGACAATGGCCCATCGCCCCAAAGTGACACCGTCATGGAATAAGTCGTAAGAACGAGCTGGGCCGAGTCAAAGAACACATTAAACAGACGTCAAGGTAAAGAATCTCGCTTATCTGGCCGAGCATATTTGCCTATGTCGGTCAATTTCGAGGTCATCATAGGTGAGCCACGATCCCGATCTACCAACGGTACTTCATGTTGCATCCAATCACTTACGAACCGCTAGGTATATTTGTGTCTCTGTTAACCGTACACTCAAAGTCGTATCAAGCAGCCCTCAAATAAAAGCTCCATTATTCATTTCGTTAGCTTGACCTTGATAAAGGCCTCCAAAATGTTATATGCAAACAGGTACGTTTTACCTCGATGAAACAACATACACAAGCCACCTTGGTAGCACGACTGATATCAAGGCTTGAATGATTTGGGGTTACTAAAACCAGAAATTCCGAATTCTCACGTAGTACATGAAAACCTTACGATACGTCGTCCCTGTCGGCAGATCTCGTCTCTCATTTTAATCCAAAATTGAGTGGACGACACGAGGTGCATAAACTTCACGGTCCCAGAATGATGGATCTCAATCTATGTATGAGTAGGTCTGGTAGGCAGGGACAAGGGCGGCTACATTCATTGCATCGTCAAGGTGCTCGTCGCCGGCGGTCAAGTGACCCATCTACTATGTTAAAGGCACGAGCCTATAAAAGGGGGAAAGACCGGATTCGAGAACCACAACCTTACCTTGACGGCTTCCTACATCTTTTTGCCTTCTCCTGCGAGCACAACAAGAAAAAGAAATACCTACCGGACAGGGTTCGGATCAGGGGCCAAGCAGATGCGGCTCCTTTCGCTTTGAGTGTCAAGCGCATGTTGGGTATATTGTTCAAGCGGCTATCCGCGTCTCTTACCGCCAGTTCGTTGCCGAGATGCCCTGCCATGTCTGTGGAGTTGAAGTTGCCTCGTTCATGTTTTCTTTCTCACCTAATTAGGAATCGTGGGACGATAGAGCTGAGATAGTTGCGGTCGTTATTCGTGTTGCCTGCATGGGGAGAATGGACATGGATGGAACTGTGAAGGCATGATCAGGAAGCGCCTACCTCGATAAAACTGCGAGATGGGCTGTATTGCATCGCTTCGTGTCGATTTGCAACGCTAGAAAATGAGGCGCTTGTTTACACTGCGGCTGCATTTGTCGAAGGAGGTTGGAAGCTACTCCATGGAAAAGAAGGAGTGTATGGAATAAATTCCTGATGTAGTGATCACTGACAGTGGAGCATTCACTTTCAGAAGAAAGAAGGAGCAGCAAGGGGGAGAACTGGCAACGTTCAGTAACAAAGAAGAAAAGCCCAAGAAAAACCAGAACACATTGGGACCGAAATCATTACACAATAAGCAATACCATCTGGCTCCTTCAAAGTTCACGACCATTGTGGCCGTTGAAATCTGAGATCATTATCAGAAGTTCCACACATAGAATACTGTTTGCTTCATTCCTTCCTTCCTTCCTTCCTTATTCAAAATCCTATCAAACAAAAGAGGAACAACGTCAACAGGCAATGACTTCCACTTGAGAAGAAGAAAGGTTACACGGGTACAATAATAATAACCTCGGAACCGAGGCAATTGTCCGGTCCGGAGTTCTTTCCCCTTTTGCCTTCCATCATTCGTTCCTTTCTCTCAGCTTTAAGCCCACTTGTGCAATTCAATGGGTCCATGTTAAAGGGAAGATGGAGAAAGAGGTAGAAATTAGGCAGGAGCGAGGCACGGTTGTTTCTTTTTTCCCCCTTCCTTCCTTCCTTTATAATGCCACCTCAGGGGAGGGCAATGCAGCACTGCAACTGTGAAACTTCAGCCACGCCTTAAACAGGCAGATGGAAAAGAACTGGAATAACAAAGCCCCGAGATTGAAACCTCAATCCCCCAAGACTTGCATCGATACAATGCATTTCTAACTGTACTAGGTTGGTACAGTCTGAGCCAGCGAGAACTCAACACCATTTATCCCATGGTTACACGACATCAACTGCCCCTCGTCATTTTCTCTCACTGTGTAGATACTTTCGAGTAGCCAACCTATGTATCAGTAACTATTTCTTAGCAATATCAGCGTTGGCATCCTTCACTAGGTAGCTATTGACCGTCATACGTGAGCTATCATGTCGCCTTGCGCGTCCAGGGAGGGGAGGGACGTTATGGACGTCATGAGGTTGAAATGGCTCCGAGGTCGGAAGCCGGTAACAGAAGCTGGGAAGTTGGGGGTTCGGGTTCATTTCTTTGGAGATGAAGCGATTGCTGATCTTTTCTTGAACCTGTCCGCTTGGTGCAGTGGCATCCATTCGATTCGCCGTTGAGTGTTCTGGTTCTCGGAAAAAAACCCTCAGGACGTACTAGGAAGGTTTCCCGCCGTCATGATCTGCAAACTTCACGATAATCGACGATGGTGTTGAGGCAAAATCATAGAGGAAAAAAGAAGTGAACGCGGCCAGACACTTCTCCCTCGACAGTGGCAAGGTAAACTTGGCGGGTGAGATTGCATCTCGAATCCAAGAACGTGTTTTCCGAGCATAAAAAGAAGGCCATTCCAAAGCACGGTGATGGAATTGTGTAACCTCTATATGCAGTCGATCACTTCGGGAACTCGATATCTCAAAACACCATGCAATGGAGATCTCTTGGACACTACTCTACTATCAGAGCCATGCGATTTTTTTCTCGATTCCAACGCCTTGGGGTGTTTAAAGAATTGTTATCAAGCTTTGTAAGTATTCTTACTGTGTCACAGGTTTAGATATCCTTATAGCCAACAACCACAACCACAACCACAAACATCAGAAAAGAAGAGCTCTTCGCTGACTGATCGAACCAGACGTCTAGAACTAGCTAGCTGCTAGCATTAGCCATCGCGGTACCTGATCAACCTAACAAAGCCTCGCTGTGGGTTACTTACTTACTTACTTACTTATCTAAGCATGTACAATCCAGAGTCAAGCGATAAATACAACAACATAACCACCGACTAATCCATTCAATTGCATGTGGGCTAAATCAAAGCATAATACACGCACATTAACAACAAACCATCTGCTCACACACCACATGTGTCTACACAAGCCGAAAATCGAAAACTTCACGAAGTTCGTTACCCTAAAAGTCACATGTGGAGGGATTCACCGTCGTTGACGGGATGATGCTAGCAGTTTGCTAGAAAGGAGGAACTAAATAACAATACTAGATAATCAGACAATCACATTTTGAAAACTTCACCATGGTAGAACAATTTTCGTGATTATGTAACGAGCTAAATGTGATACTCGTACAATGCTTCAAAAGTTAACTTGAACACCCTCTTCTCCCCTGGAGAAAATGCCTGCCCTCATCCTAATTACCCCCAAGAACAGCCTATCCGATACCCACCTAAACTCCTTGTTTCTCTTAAGCATTACTCATAAAGCAAGCACCTAACATAAACAAGCCCATGCGGCAGTATACATCGTAGTCTCATGCCTCTTTATCCCATTCGTCATGATTCTCATCATGGACCCCAGACAAAACATCACCTACGAGTGAAATGCTACTCGCAGTCTACACACGTAGTCAATTCGAACCCAAAGATCCCAATCAGAGCTTAGCCCTCGCCCCTTTACTGTCCCTCCCTAACTCTTCCCGACTTTTCCCCAACCCCTCGCTCAACTCTATCCGATCCCACCAGAACCGACAAGCCTTCAGCAAGATCCCATCAAGAACCTCCTCCTTGGCCGGCGTCCCAGGACTGCTACCTCCCGCCCGCTCATTATTCCCTTCTCCAAAGACAATCATCCTGCCCGTTCCCTCTGGCGCCTTCGTCTCGTCATCGTCATCGTCACCGTCGCTGCTGCTGCTGATCTGTTTCCACAATGAAGACAACGACCAGGACCTCCTTTCGGTTTCGGTCATCTTCTCGGCAGTCTTCTTCAAGTCGTGATCATCTCCACCGAACGGCGTCCTAAAAATTGGCCATTCCACCTTTTTCCCACCGTCCTTCCCATCCGTCTCAACCTCGATCCTCTTCTCTCCACTCGCAAACCTTCCCCAAGCAGCATTCATCCCATCCGCCACCTTCCTCAACCCTTTACCCCTTCCGGGGGGCCCAAGGGACCGCAAAAAGTCCATATCATGCGTTACCACGGGTGCCTCATCCGCGTGATTTGCCGCGTTCCGGTTTCCCCTGGCCGCAAACCTATAGACATGCACCGGCAGTCCAGCCTGGCTCATAAAGTGCGCCGTCTGCAGCACGGGACAGATGTAAGCGTAGTGGCTGTAGGCAGCGTCAAGACGAGCCCATTGGGCTCCTTGGCTGTTGGGCACGGAGCGATATGGGCTTTTGTGGGGTTGGGTGACGGGGTCCGGGTAGAGGACCTCAAGAGCGGAGAGGTCGTCGTCGCTGAGGGTGGGGATGAGGGTCTTGAAGAAGGAGCGGAAGTCGTTGTTTGTCTTGGCGTTGCGTGGGATGAACATGGCGCCTTCGTTGGTGTTGAAGCCCGTCAGGATCGGGATGCGGAGGTGTTTGCCTTGGCGCCATGAGGTGATGGGGAGGTCGGGTATTAGCACGGGAGTGGTTTCGCTGTTGCTTTTGTTGTTGCTGGTGGCTTGTTGATGGTCGTGAAGCCCATCGATGACGGGTTGGAAAGGCCAGGTGACGCTAGGTTCGTAGCGGTCCCAGACTTTCTTGGACGCTTTAACGATGGTCTCAAGTGGAAGCTTGCGGAGTTGATCAAAGACTTGATCCTCCGGCGCGCCGTCGACACCAGCAGCGGCGAGGAATTCACGAAACTGGACCAGGTGACGAGGATGGCTTGGGAGGAGGACGGCTCTAGCAGTAGTGGCGCCGGACTCGAGGATGGCTCTGTGAAAGGGTGCCGGTGCTTCCTTACGGGCGTAGTACATAATATGGTGCCCAATCTAGAAACCGGATATGGGTCAGCTCAGCCCTTCGCATGTATACCCCAATATCCAGATGTACGAAATCGAAACTCAAAGGGGCCGAGGAGAGAACCTACCGAATGTGCACCAGCACTAAGTCCCATAATGGTGACATTATCCGGGTCACCCCCAAAGGCCTTCACATTCTCCCTCACCCATTCCAACATCATAGTCTGATCCCTCAACCCCAGATTCAACAACCCTTCCTTCGCCGTCAAGGCCGACGGGAGGAATCCCAAGGCGCAAACACGGTAGTTGAAGTTAATGCCTATCATGGGCGCATCGGCCCAAGCAATGAAGCTCGCCATATTGCGCTCAACGCCCATACCCCCGTTGAAAGCACCCCATGAATGTAGACAACCACGGGTAACAACGCCGGCCGCTTGCTGCTGTCCCCACTTTTCAGTCCATCGTCATCAACAAGACCTGCCGGCCTGTAGATATTGGCGTTCAAACAGTTCTCCCCAAATCCCTTTCCAACGGTTCCTCCTATAGGACAATTCTCGCCGAACCTGACAGCCTGGAACGTCTGATCAGAGTCCGGCAGTGCCTTGGGTGGCCGGAAGCGGTTTTCTCCTCCGGTGGTCTGCGCAAAGGGAATACCACGCCAGGCCTCAATGGCCTTTGGAAAGCGGTACTCGACAGGCAAGTTGACGCCAATGTACCGGCCTTGGCGCAAGGTGACTGCAGGTGGTGTGACTGTAGAACTGGGCTTCTTTATGTTTGCCATGGTGGTGGTTACGGTCAACAAGGTGGTAGAAAACTGGGATTGCGACGCGTCCTTGGCGTCTGCAATTTGAGAAGTCGGAGTTGGGCCTGAAGTGTAAGAATATGCGGACGAGTTGGAGAAGGAGGACGAAGGCGAAGGAGAAGATGCGGACGAAAGTAGATCTAGCTCGAGATCCGGGTCGACAGATGAAATTATTGCCTTTGTGCTACCACCACTACTGCTGTCTGCCTTGTTGCCGTTACCGTTGTCATTGTCGCCGTAGTTGCCGTGCTGGGTGGTACTACTCAGGGTGCCCTTTTCCACGTCGTCCGAGTTCGCAAACGAGGGGGCGCCGCGGCCGTTGGTATTATATCGGTAGTCGTATAGGCAGACGCACAGGAAGCCAATGATGAAAGCCCAGACTGAAAACAACACCATCTTTTTGGATAACCTCTTTATTAGTAGTCGGGGCCACCCGCGTCGCATATACTGGGGCTTCTCACTCTCAGAGAGGAGGGGAAGATGCGGAGGCGGCGGGCTTCCTAGTAGTAGTGACGTTGGATTCGAGCTTCCACTGCTGCTACTGCTGTTATCACTACTAGCTCGGCGGCGGGCTGTGGATGATGCTAGGAGCGGGGTGCTATCGGTACCGGGACTGCCCCATCCCAGGATCGACGTTGGCGGTTGGGGTTCCCCATTTTCCACCGAACCGTTGACACTGACAGCGGCGTCCGCAGTGGATGTTTCGTCTGGATCCAGGGCCTGGTCGCCGCGGGACGTGGTGCCGAGACGGACCCCGTCATGCACAGGTAATCGCGACGGGCTTGGCATCGCGACTCTTTTCGCGAACAGAAAAGCTTCTCTTGACGTTTGATGGTCGTTCTCTTGGCCCGTCCTTTTACGAGGTCCAACGCGCACTATGCTTCTCGGCTATAGATTTCCCATATTGCTGATGCTACTCAGCCGCTTGTTGGTGCAATTACTGTGGTTTTGGTGATAGAGGTGGCGCGACTAAAGTGAATGATAACGGCACTCAATGATCGGTCTTGTGGCTGGAGGACCCTCAAAGACAATGTTTTCTAGTTGTTGGAACAGGCGGTCAAATGTTAAAAAAAAGAGTTGCAGTTAGAACGGATGATCGATGCGCATCGGGCGGTCGAATGTCGAATGCACGGGCTGCTCAAGACACCTCCTGTATAATCGAATGATGATGTATGTTGGACATAACCGAACAAGGAAAGAAGAAAGGAGGAAAAGAATAAAGGAGCGGCGGCGACAATTGACGGTGCCGCAATCGAGCGATAAGATTCAATCGAAAAGAGAGAAAGGACGGCCGGTGAAGACCAGAATCGAACGAGCAAGAGACGATGGTGGCAGTTGGTGAGATTTTGGTTAATTGAGACTCATTCAGCTGAGCGACTGTCTGCATGCCCACATCGGCCCACAGTCACTGCTTCAGTCTGCTCTTCGGTACCTGCTGTGTTCCCTGCATTCTTAAGTTGATACAAAACCTCTCGCGTGGAGGAAAGAGCAGAAAAGAAACAACAGGAGAAGGCGAATGTAAATTGCCAGCGCATGCTGCTGCTCGTTCAGGCCGTACCTGACGAGCTGACCAACAATAAAAAACCACTGCCAGTAACAAACAATGCAAGCCTCAAACGTCAATCTCTACTCCTGCCATCCCCTCAACATTCATAAAGTACATAATGCGGAACGAATGCAACGGACGGATGCTACGCTTCGGCCCGTTGTATTCTTGACATGACAGCAGCGAGTTGGAAACGGGCGTTAAGTGACGACGGTAAACATTCACCAGACAGAGGTCGTTTTGCTCTGGCTCGGTAGGGCATCGTTCGCCTCAACTGAAGTAACCTCGACTCGCCTCCTCTGTCCCTTTTCGCGGTCGGCGCGTATCACAAACTTATGAATGTAACAAGGTCGAGTCTCGAATTTCGAATAGGAAGGTATGCGAGACAGATCAAAGTCGAAGCAATTTACTCAATACACCCGTTGTGTCGTCGTCGTCTTGGTTCCAACTTCACTTCAATACCCTTCCCACTAGGTTGTCATAAGCGCCCTGCCTAAATCTTTGATTGTTCTTCATCTCACTCTACTCTATCTAGCATCCAGCGTCGCCTCATATCATGACCACCTTGGCTAAGCTGAACTTCCTGTACAGTAAAACATACCCCCGCCAAAAACGCGCTCATAATACCAAGCGGCGGGCTGACCGGTAAGCCTGTGTGACAAACAGTTGCCGCCGCGTACAAGAAGAACCTAACGGCCTAAAACCGAAAGACCCGTTGCCTCTTCCGATAACCCAATCGTCCAATCGGTTGGTGAGAAGTCCGTTTAACCATGCTGTAAGTCATCGGAGGTATGCCCTGGGCGTCTCAGTATATAAAAATGGCTAAAAACAACCTGGCGCCCTCAAGAGACGGTGATGGCTGCCAGGACAGTGCCCCGAAAGCTTGTAAATGAAGCAAGTTGGAAGGATAAAGAAAGCCAGCGTGATAAGACCATAAAAATGAGTAGAAGAGAGAAGGAAACAAAAGTTCACGCAAACACTGCTGTACAACCTCCTCTTGAAAATGCAACGCAAACCATGAACTCCAGGCCAGAAAAAGAGAAAAGCATGAAAGACCGGAATTGGTAACAAAGCCTGAGCCACAACTCTGCGTCAACCCGAAGATTTCAGGTCGTCGTCCACTCGCCTTAAAATGCCTAATCCATCGTGCAACCCTACCTTTTCAGGATGTGAAACGAAGCCTCATGGCCTGAGAGATCCCGACCATGCTGTCCCTTTTCTTTTTTCCATCAAGAGTAGCGGCTTTGTGTGCGTGCTTGTCTGCCCACTCGCGGCTCTGCATCCTAGACCTGTCAGCCGCCTCCTTTCGGGCTCTCTTCGCCACCTCCTCCCTTTCGTGCCGCTCTCTCTCACGCCCCGCCGTATGGTCATTGTCGCTTTTAACCACCTCCTTTCCCCGTTGCCTCTGCTTCTGTGCCTCCTCCGCGCTCACTGTGCTATGCCTGCTAACCGTGCTACTCCCCGTGACGCCGCTGCGGTTGCTACCTGCCGACGCCCTCGAGGTGCCACGACCGGCATTGGCTGCCGACAGCGAGTCGATCATGCTCAAGCGGCCGCGCGCCGGAAGAGTTGCCGCATTATACGACTGTCGCTTGGTCGACGCCGCCGATTTACCTAACGTGGAATTCCGCTTGTTCGCCGAAGAAGCTGTCGGTGACGCAAAGGAAGCTGTAGCGGGCGCCTTTGATACTGGAGAACGGGGCTCTGCGTAACCGCTGGCATTGTTGTCCTCAAACGCACGACCAACATTAGGTCTCCCTTGCCGCACCCGACTAACAACCGTCTCGCGAGGGTTCGCAGCTCTTGAGACGCTGCCGCGGACCGAGCGAGACTTGGGCTCACAACCCTTACGGTCCTCTTCCTGAGCTCGTTGTTTGGCCTCCAACTCCTCTTTCCTGCGACGTGACGTTGTCTCACCAGGTATCTCAGAAGCGGCTCTCGTGGACGTTCGGGTTGATCTGACACGAACTTTGGGAGGAGCAGTCCAGGAATCATCTATAGAGGGAGCATGCTCGGAATTGTTTTGCTGTGAAAGACGGGATGCACGCTGTTCCTTCAGGCGGCGGCCCACAGCTTCTCCGGGCAGCTCGAACAAGGAAACAGTGGACGCTTTGTTAGACTTGGCCAGAGGCCTGGGTGGCAGAAGGCTCGCTGGCTGGCTTGCTGTTCCCTTCTTTTTAGCAGCCGCTTTATCCTCCGCGAAGCTCATCGAGCTTGACTTCCGCAAAGTCGAAGAGCGATCAACATCCTTTAGGCGGACCGTGGCAGCTCCAGTTCTCTTGGAGCTTGTGCGCTGAGGCGGGGCTGCCCTGGGTGTTCTATGGAGGCTCGCAATTGAGGGTCTTCTTGCGTCCACCGGAGACAAGATTCGGTGAATCTGCGCGAAGTCGTTGACGGCTTCCGATTCATCCTCGAGCTTGTCAAGAGCTTCAACCGAGTCCTCGATCCTGGATGCCGGACTCGGGATGGGTGAAAATAGTCTGGTTGATTCCATGCCGTCTTCAATGGCATCCGAGAGGTGCTGACGATATCTGTCATGTTGTTCGGTCTCCCACCTCATGTGAGACCCTTGATGGCAGCCGTCCATCATCTCCAAGGAATGATGGTGGAATCGGTGACAGGAATCAGTCTCCCACATCCGGGCCTCGTCTTGGACATGGCGGTCGTCTGCTGAATGTGAATCTGATTCTCGAGCTTCATCTCTCTCTTCCTCGAATTGGTATTCGCCGATGAGAAGAGAATCTGACTCGAAGCTCGCCTGAGGCTCATGTCGATGGCCCCTGTCCATCTGTCTGTGATCATCGCGCAATTCATCGTCCGTATGGTAGACACTGGTGTCTTCAGCCACGCTAGAATCGGTATCCATCTGGACGATGGTGTTCTCGAATTCGCCTGCCCTGTCACCCATCATGCTCTCCGTCTCTTCATCGATTGTCTCGCGCGTAATGTCGGAGGTCCTAATCTGAAGATGGGATGCTTCGGGGTGGATCGCGATGCTTGTCGGAACAGCGTTGTCCACGATGACGTCGCTCTGCTCGACGTCGTCGAGCTTGGTAGCTACAACCGTGTAAATATCAGCAGATTGGTCTCCGTTATCGGTGCCTAACAAGACATTCGGCGTAGACTTTGAACGACGTGGGACGAGGTTGCAGCCGAAGTAGAGCAGCTTTTTCGGCTTCTCAAATCCTTGGTAGCCACAGCGCTCAGGGTGTTCATGTGAACAGTTAGGGTGAGCACACTCTCTGGATCCCGTATAGCCACAACTCTCGGGATTTTCGTGACAGCAGATTGGATGAGCGCATTCTTCGGGCGAGGTCTTTGCAGGAAATGACAAAACCCACTCGAAGTGACCTGCGTAGTGTTTGGCCAACTGCTCCGCGTTGCTAGGGAGACTTCGACTTTCAAGGGCGAGAGGATTGTTTTCCAAGAATTCTGAGAGACCCATCACGCTCAAGTCAGTTTGTGTACATTGCATGGAAGTTGCATGAGTGTCAAAAGCCGAGAGAGGATGATACATGCCTTTTGAGACGAATGCTGAAAGGGTTTCAGTATTGGCTTCTTGGCCCAGCTTTTCGCGCACTTGACCAGCAGTCTCGGTTCCAGATCCAGTCTCGTCAGTTTGGTGTCTAGCAGGACCTCTGGCCCTGGTATTTGGCTTCTCAGGACTACCCAAGCAACTGTTTTGGAGATTGATTGTCCGAGTCTTGATCGGCTTTCTGCTATGATTGTCGTTGGAGTCAGGATTTCGACCCAGGACACGAGACTGACTGTTGCCGAGTCTGTGGGGGGAGCAGTTGGAGTGTATTCCATGGTCGTGGATATCGAAACCGATTCCGTGTCGATGTTGGTAGGTGCTGGCGGTCGCCATGACTGTAATTAATTCTTCGTTCTAATATCGGCTCTTCCCGAAATAGGCCAAGATTTAGAGGCCAGACAATTGTGATGCTGACCAGACTGAACAAGGATTACCGAGTAGTCTCGCACCAGGGAAAGGCCAAAATTATCTCTGTGCAGACGCGGGGTGTGCTTGTTATCCAGAAAAGTGAGATTGTGATGGGCTAGATCTGGGGAAGGCTGATCGAAAACTTGTTGGTTATTGATTGAACAATTATGCTGGTGTAGCAGTTGGGCTCGGGGGTCCTTGGACGATGAAGTGATTCGACTGAAGTGGTAGAGGAAATGTGATGGAAATGGTCCTAGAGGCAGTTGGCTTTTGTGCTTCATCCAGAACGTCATGCGTCTTCCATGGTACTGGCGGCGGGCGCTCTTCCTGTTTTCCTGGCCTGGCAGTTGAGCTCTTGCCCACAACTCCTTCCCATCCTCACCACAATGCTCGAGGACCATTTCCATGTTCTCGGCGCCTGCGCATGACTCCTAAATGCAAGTGCCCGTGGTCTCGTGGTGGTGGTTGTCCGATGCCCTAAAACGACGACTTCCTCCAACAACCCCATGGTTGACTTCAACCGACAATAGTGGTTTCTTTAGTAAGTAGTGATCAAGTAGAAACAGCCAACTCTTGCTGGTTGCTCAAACCGCTCTTCCACTTCGTACTTGGAACATAGCAACGGAGGCTGGCAGCACTGGTGGATAGAAGGCCAGTCCACATAGGTTCATACTCTAACATGAAGTGTTCTGACCTGGATTGCGTCTCCCTTTAGAAGAATTCGGTGCGGTGATAGGATACGACCCATAAAAATAACGACTTCTGACTAAACCAGGGCATCCTCAGCTAGAGGTAATCCCTGGACGAACTGGCTGAATGGTATTGTCTAGGTAGCCGGCCTAGGTGACCTGGAACCGACCCTTCCTTCGGGTTACTCTTCTTCTGCAACTCCCTCCGCATGCGCTTGAAGAGCAGGCGCATGCTCGGTTGGAATGCGAACAAGTGTCTGGGGAAGATCGTTCTCTGAGGGCTCTGGGACATTTGCACTTGGCTTGGACAGTTTGGCTGGGGCAATCATGTCAACAACGAGGGAGGATGAGATGGTGTTGGTGATGATGGTGCTTACCAGACGCCATGTTGATAGCTCTCAGCACATTATGCCAGTTGCTAAGAACAAGGGCAATAGCTTCAGTCCCATCGGAAAGGGTAGACAGCTTTTGTGCGAGCGCCTCCATCTGTGTGGCCATTGCCGCGCTCAGATCGCGAAGCTCCTTGAGATTCTCCAGTTCGGCCTTCTTCTCGTTGACTCTGGCAACCAGGGCTGGAGACTGGCCCGTGGTGCTTGCGCCCATGGACGAAAAGCCTCTGGCAGGAAAAGCAGACATTGCGGCTGCAGTCACGGAGTGGGTGATTTGAGAAGTAAAAGAAGATTGGAAAGCCGCAAAGTCTACATGGATCCGAGGAAATTAGTAGTCAAGAACGGGCAGCTGGTTGAATCCAGGTGGAACCTAAGTTCTCGACGAGGTGGAAGACGGGAGGAAAGAGCGTCCTGTTGTTGTGATTGCTTCTTGCTGCTGTTACTGTAAGTATCTGGGTACCTAGCGGCCGGCACTGCTCAGGCAACCTGGACACCGCAGCCCAGACGGTCGCCCTGAAGACAGTGACGTGCCTGCTGAGAGGTCGGAGGTGAAGCTTCCAGTCCAGTGGGCCGCCGTCCCCGCTTCAGAACTCCGTTGCTGGTCAACCCTGGACCTTGGTCAACTGCAAGAGAACTGTGACGCTAAACCGCCTTGGGAACCCAAGTAAACAAAAATGTTCGCGAAATGACACCTGGGAATTCGTCTACCTCCGCTCCCACCCAATCCGCCCGCACTGTTGCACCCGCCCGCTCGCCATTCGACACACGCCCAGCCTCTTCCTTCCCAACATATCGATCGCATTCCAAACAACACCACCCCAACAGCTTCACCTAACCGACGATCAGTATTGTATGTCTATGACAGCGATCCGGTCGACCTAACAACCACCCTTTTCTTGCTGTCTTGTCCGCGAGGACGACAATGCGAAATGGCCCGCCTGAACGGACAAGCCATGTCGTCTGTCTCGTCGTCAACAGACAACCTCGAGCTTCGTATGTGTCGCGACTCTGTCTCCCAAACGCGACAGTGCGACAACACAGCTAACCCAATCGCGTCTTAACAGTGCGTAGGAAGTTCCTCAGGCAAAACAGAGATATTGCTCGGGTCAATTCCACACAGTCACTTCGTATCCGCGGGCTGGAAAATGAATGCGCTCGTTTGCTGTCAGAAAACCTCGAACTTCGTAGTCAGGTCTTGCGCCTCGAAAAGGAGCTCCAAGACAACGCTGCGCAAAGAGTGGCCGATCATGCGCTCGAGATCAAGGCCAAGATGGAGACGCAGTTGGCGGAGCTCAGTTTACTGCTAGCAGGTTTAGGAGAGCCGCCCGCCAAGCGACGCCCCTCCGAAGAAAGGCGATATGCGCAACCTCGACCGAGCGTTCATCGGAGCCCTCCCCTAAGAAGAGCACGCCAGGAGGCTGACCAGGAACTACTTGCCGAGCAGGAAGGGAGGCTACCACCGATTTACGAGAACAAGACGTATGCACGAGCTACGATGAAGTAAGTCGCATGGCATTCCCGGTGCACTGCTACTCGAAGCACATGGCTGACGCCCAAACAGCAGTGAGGAAATCCTAGCGTTGTGCATGCAGGCAGATGACTGGAACGACTCGCCAGACATTGGACCGCCGCCAGTATCTAGGTTTGTTGAGGATGATATGGTCATATCTCGATCTCCATCGCCAAGCAAGAACGCCGAGACCGAAGAGATGCAAGCTGCCGAGCAAGTAGAAGAGAGCCCTAGGGGCCTCCAAGTGCCGCCGTCACTATCGCCGCCCAAACTTAACTTTGACAGGAGACCAAACATGATCCTTTTCAGCCCGCCCAAAGAATCGACAATTACGGAACCTACCAAAATGTCCAGTCCCATTCAGATGGAACCGCCAAAACAACTTTCCTCGGCTGCACCAAGTGAGACGATACGGGCAGGCCTCAAACGAAAGTTGAACGACGAGAACGAAAACGAACCCAACAAGGCAACCAAGCTGCAGCAAGGAAAGGACGTTGGCAGTACGACTGGGAAGAAGAAAGGACTCTCTGCCCGCGACCCGCAAAAGAGGAAAAGCATCAGAGAGACCGCAACGAAACCGAGAGCTCCACTGTCAGCAAAGAGCACGAATGAGCACATTACTTCTCCAAAGAAGGCGACGAAGGCCTACGAGGTAGACGACGATTTCAAGCCGGTGAAGGTGCACAAGGCACAAAAGGGCAAGGAGAGGGTTGACCTGCCGCTCCCGGAAGAGGAGTCAACAGCAGAAGAAGGGCAAGGAACTTCTACGTCAGCATTTACGAAAATCGAGAACGTCCTACCGGCTCGGAAACGTACTCCAGAGATTGCAGAGATTCCCGAAACCGAAATCCTGATGACAATTGGAACACCAGAGCGCGCCTCCGGAAGCACCGTTGTGACCCACGACACCCCGCCGCCAGCCCACATTTCATCTAATGGAGAGACGTCGCGGCCTAGCAGGCGTGCCAGAGCGGCCATCAGCTATACCGAGCCCAATTTGCGCGACAAGATGCGGCGACCGACCAAGGAGCTCTTTGATGCCGTTTCTGGGGAGGGCAAGTTCCTCCACAGACCAGCAGCGCAACAGCAGCAGCAACGCAAGGGGGACGAGTCGGCACCAACGTCAGTGAGCAAGGCCAAGGCCGAGTCGGAGCCAGTGGTGGATATGAGCGGTCTTGCTAGCAGTACGCTATTCGAAAAGGAAAACAAGGACGAGAAGGAGAAGGAGCCACAACCGGAGGAAGGGATATTATCTCCAAACGGCTTCCTCCCAAGCTCGGTCGACCTGGGAAGGAGAAGGCGCGCCTCATCCTTTTCAACTACGGCCGCTGCAATGATGATTCCTCCGATCCGAGAGCAACCCACGCCAAATCCCCCAGCTGCGGAGGAGATTGACGAAGACGCCGCTGTTGAGGCTCAAATTCAAAAGGAGTTGAGTAATAGTATCACGACACGACCTAGAGGTGGAAAGGGAAGGCAATCACTGAGCCGTCCCACACCTACAATTCCCACGGAAACGCGAGAGGACGCACAACTCCCGACGAATTCGGCTTCGGTGGATCTCTACGACTTTGCCAGTTGCGCATCTCCGGATACTGCGGCACCCCAAGAAGAAACAAATACCAGCGATGTTGCCGGTAACAAGAAGGCACCAAAGGGTTCAAGAAGGGCGTCCTCAGCTGCTTCGACTGAGACGACAGCAACAGCGTCCGCAAAGCCAAGATCTTCCCGGAAAAGGGCTTCAATGTTGGTGCCGAAGAAGAGCTCGTGGTCCGAGGAGCAACCGCTAGAGGAAGAGGAGGAGGAAGATGTTGGTAATGACAGCGGAGGGTCGTTGTCTAAAGGCAGGGCATCGAGGAGGAGAAGTATGATGCTTTGAATGGACCTTGGCAAAGCTGGGAGCCTGGGAGAGAAATGCTGTATAGAGAGAGACCTGCTTCAACGTCACAGCGTACGGCGTTCTGTTGTTCATATGGGTTGGAGTTGTATCACATGTGTCGAACTGGACAAGGGTTCCCCCATTACTGCACTAAGCAAGAAAACTTGCATGTTGGATAGCCCAAACATCGAGACTTGATAACCGTAGTGTACCTTATGTACTGCCCGTAGATAAAAGTATTCCCCTGAGCAAGTAATCAACAATGCGTTGCTGCGCGACCATTAGCGCTGACAGCTGGCAGCGGATGCCACGACACGTTCTTCCGTTCTGTTCGGTAGTCCTCTGCCCCACCTTTTGGGCGGTGGGGTGCCGTCCACTGGCGACGGTAGCAGGGAGCTTGGTCCAGGTCGATTCTATCAACTTTTCGAGGGGGTCCAGCATCCCACCTTGACGCTGAAGCTGCCTGCCCGATCATCGAACTGGAGAACAGCAAACAACAACGGCCATTCCTTCCCTCTCCAGATTTTTGCCAACCATCTGCTTCTCCCCGCGCATTCTGAAGCATCACCATCTGGACGGATTCTGTACAGCTTTCTTCTCTTCAGTCACCAGTAAAGCAACCTACATAAATCAAGCACCATGCAGGCACCGGTCCTGGTAATGAGTATGTTCCAGCGCCCGAAGCTACCTCTAGCTTACCCCTTTTGATATTGGGGATATCCTCACTTATCAGCCGGTGGTAACCATGCAGCATACTGACCTTATCTCGTTCCCTTACAGACACCAACAGTGGTGAGAGGCAGACTGGCCGCAAGGCTCAGATGTCCAACATCGCCGCCGCCAAAACGTACAGTTCCCAAGCATCCCCCTAATAGCGGATCACAGAGACCGCCTTTCACCCCGCCATGGACCCTGACTGACCGCCCCCCTCGTCTTGTAGTGTCGCTGATATCATCCGATCCTGCCTCGGCCCCAAGGCCATGCTCAAGATGCTCCTCGACCCCATGGGCGGTATCGTCCTCACCAACGACGGCCATGCTATTCTCCGCGAGATCGAGGTGTCGCACCCCGCAGCCAAGAGCATGATCGAGCTCAGCCGGACACAAGACGAAGAAGTTGGTGACGGCACCACAACAGTTATCATTCTCGGTAGGGGGAAATTCTGGCTACTATAACTGCGTGGCATGCTGTTTACTGACGTGTGGTGTTCACAAACAGCCGGCGAGATCCTCGCGCAATCCCTCCCCCAGCTCGAGCGCAACATCCACCCCGTCGTCATCATTTCGGCCTTCAAGCGCGCCCTCAAGGACGCCCTCGAGATCATCGAAGACATCTCCCTCCCGATCGACATCAATGATGACCAGGCCATGAACAAGCTCATCTCGTCCTCGATCGGCACCAAGTACGTTTCCAGGTGGTCGGAACTCATGTGCGGACTGGCGCTCAAGGCCGTGCGCACCGTGACGTGGGAGATGGGCAATGGCAAGAAGGAGGTCGACATCAAGAGGTACGCGCGCGTGGAGAAGGTACCCGGCGGCGAGATCGAGGACAGCAGAGTATTGGACGGCGTCATGCTCAACAAGGACATCACACACCCCAAGATGCGCCGCAGGATCGAGAACCCGCGCATCATCCTGCTCGACTGCCCGCTCGAGTACAAGAAGGGCGAGTCGCAGACCAACATTGAAATCACAAAGGAGGAGGACTGGAACCGCATCCTGCAGATTGAGGAGGAGCAGGTCAAGCAGATGTGCGAGGCTATCCTCGCCTTCAACCCCGACCTTGTCATCACAGAGAAGGGTGTCTCTGGTGAGTTCAACTTGTTGCAGCGGAAGCGCATACTTTGCCGGTGACAGCAAGCTAACAATGATTCTCTTCTACAGATCTCGCACAACACTACCTCATGAAGGCCAACGTCACCGCGCTCAGACGTGTGCGCAAGACCGACAACAACAGAATCGCCAGGGCGACGGGCGCCACCATTGTCAACCGAGTAGAGGATCTCCAGGAGTCCGACGTCGGCACTCACTGCGGCCTGTTCGAGATCGAGAAGATTGGCGACGAGTACTTCACCTTCCTCACAAAGTGCAAGGACCCCAAGGCCTGCACCGTCCTTCTCCGCGGCCCTTCCAAGGACGTCCTCAACGAGATCGAGCGCAACCTGCAAGATGCCATGGGCGTGGCGCGTAACGTCATGTTTCACCCCAGGCTATCGCCCGGTGGTGGTGCGACCGAAATGGCCGTTTCTGTCAGGTTAACACAGCTCGCGAAGAGCATCGAGGGTGTCCAACAATGGCCGTACAAGGCTGTCGCCGAGGCCCTCGAGGTCATCCCCCGCACACTCATCCAGAACGCCGGCAAGAGCCCCGTCCGCGTGCTCACCGATCTCCGCGCGAAGCATGCCGAGGGCAAGAACTCGTGGGGTATCAACGGCGATACCGGTGCGATTGTGGACATGAAGGACTACGGTGTCTGGGAGCCCGAGGCCATCAAGGTGCAGAGCATGAAGACTGCTATCGAGGTATGTTTGATTTTCCTTTTCCACATTCAGCATCGCTGCTTTTTAAACTGCTCACTAACCATATCTATCACAAACAGGCTGCCTGCCTCCTATTGAGAGTCGACGATATCTGCAGTGCCAGAAAGGCACAGCCAGGTGTCGGCGTCAGCTCCGGTGGCGGTGATGAGTAAATGTAATGACTAGATGGTGCGGATGGGTAGCCCAGGGGCCTACCGAGTTATAGTCAGTCCGGAAAAAAGGTGGTATGATATCCCGTTAATGATTCTTTTGTGGTCCAACGCATACCGTCATATTGCATGAGCACCCCTTTATATGTAAATGCTAGATAGACCTTGGCATGGTAGATAAAAGGGGTTCTGTTAAGGCCTCGTCGAGACGTATATCCTTGTTTCCTGATTGCAGGTCGTGCTGTTGTCTCTACGTTCCACAAGTCGCTGATTGTTGCTCTACTCGCTCGGGTAAAATCAATACTGTAGACATGCTCCTTCAGTCGTCTTCAACGATGAGCAGTCCGGATTCCCCATTTGCCGATACTGGTGCCTCGGGAGCTATCGCCGCCGTTGTGGTCGAAGCAGGCTTCTCTGCTTCCTTTGTGGCCTTCTCACCAGCTGTGTCGTTCGTAGAGGCTCCAGCCACAGCCGTACTCTCCTTTACACCTCCATCCTCTCCAGCCTTTGCAGTCTCTTTATTCTCAGCCGCCACAGTTGCCTTTGCCCCATTACCCCCTTGACTTCCACCTACCACACCTCCCCCTCCGCCTCCTCCATTCTTTCCACCACCCTTCCCCTTATTCTTCTTCTTCTCCCTCTTCTCCCGATTCCTCCTCGTCTTCTCCTCATCCGCCCTCTCCCTCTCCACTCTCTTCCTCTCAAACTCCTCCCTCTCCCTCTCCTTGGCAACCTCCTCGTCCATGATTCTTAGTCTTTCATACTCCCTGCGGCGCGCCGCCTTGTAAACGTGGAATTCACCTGATCCCGCACCAGCACTGGAACCCTGCACGTTCGTGACGATCTCGGGCGGAGGCGGCAGGCGCGAGGTGCCAGAGGCGCTGGAGGACGAGGGGAGAGGCGGGATGATGATTTCTCGGTCGGGCTTGGCGAAGAGTTGTTGCAGGTGCGAGGCTTGGAGGCTGGTTGGGGAGGAGGCGCGGAGACGTTTGGTGGGGCGGGAGGAGAGGCGGGAGGTGGAGGTGGGGATTGAGGAGGGGTCGTCGGCTGACATTGTTATGATTTGGTGGCGGGTGAGTTGGTTTTATGAAGATGGTATGTGGTGGTGGTGGTGGTGGTGATATGCGGTTGTGGTTTTGGTGCGATTTGCAAGCAAAAGTCCAGCCGGCGGCGATGTATGGTGGCTTAGAGGTGCTTCCCGGATGGGATTGCGAGACGCGGCGGGTGGGTGGTTTTCGTTTGAGGCGTGTGCACACCTTTTGTATGTGTTATTTCTAAGGTGCGGGCTGAACGGTGATTTTGTGATGTTGTTGGGTGATGAATGCGACTAATGTTGGCTGTCACAAATCCTGGAGGAAGTGGTGATGTGAAATTGGAGGTTGGAATCTTGACAGAGACTGAAGTCGCGACTTGGGACGGGTATTGCAGCGATCGGGTTCGGTTCCAGATCGACCAAATGCGACGCTGAGCTGAGCTGCAGCTGATGGGACTGGACCCGTTGGGCGGGCAAGGCTACAGGGCTGATGGTGGTGGTCTGTGCGCGTGGCTGTTTCGAGGCTGTTCTTGAACTTAAAGATTGGAAGATGCCTTTTCAGTTGAGTTCCACATTGCAAGTTACGAGCTCCATATGTCTTCAAGTCGCCAGGTCATAATCACATGCGTCGATGATGTGGCTTAGTCCAATGCAATTTGAAATCACGAATCTTGATGGTTCTTTGGAACCCTACAGACGGAGTCCTGGAAGCCAAGCTCTTGGATGATGGATCTGGAGTCCGTCATTGTCCTGTGTTTTTCTACACGTGCTTAATAACATGGACGAGATGTCATCGATGTCGTAAGTTCCCAAGTCCACTGTGGTGTTCCTTTGGGAGTCCAGAACATCGAACTCATCCATCCAGTTTAGCCAAAAGATCGCGGCATCTGCTCATCGGTACACTGTACGGTTAATATTACGGGCGGGAAGAAGCCGCCAGGAACGAGTTGACGAATGCCGGCCCGGGTTGGTGCTGGGCTGTTGGGCGCTTGCTGTGTGTCAATTATCAAAGTTGCGGTGACATGCGAATCCAATTGGGAAAGAACTTCTGCGGTTGAGCGTTAACAGTTCTGATTGGCTGAAGGTTTGCCCTTTCCCAAAGACATGGAACCCCGTGCAACCAATCGCGCCAGAAATGGGGCGATAAAAAAACGATAAGGCACGAGGGCTCGGCGAAAGAGCGGGAAAGACCACTGAAGTGCAAGAAATTGATAATGCATGACTCCCTGCTCTTGTCGAATCCAATCACGCTTCAGCACAACTTGGGGCAGCCCAGCCAGCTCCTCCTCCACTTACCAGCGATCACAGTGTCCAACGTCGATCATCGCTTCCTTGGGAGACGTTGTCGACCTCCAACTGAAACTTCCCCGTGGAGGAAGCAGCCATTCACTACCTAGCTAGAAACATTTAGAGTGCGGCTGTGCACATTCATCCAGAGCTGTCAAATCTGCCGCCACAGTGTTTGTGTTACGACTGCATAGTACGCCCTGGAGAGTGACACGCCGACCACACAAACTCGAACAAGAATCAAGCACTGCCTTACAAGTTTACAATAAGACAACCACGTTGCCTACGGCCAACAGCCCAACGCTGTTGATTTGTCTATCTCTTGGCTTCAGCTCGCGGCCCAAAAAAAAGCCAACTTGACTGCAAGGCCATCTACGGTACACAGATGTCACCGTGTTTATGGGTTGCGCCGTGGCTTGTAACGCATACAGTTGCGCATTTTGCTCAGGCTGCATGTCCCCAGGAGCTGGGAAGGGGCCTGGAAGATCTGCCTAATCCCCGCGCATACGAACGCGGGACGCTTGCTGGGGCGGCGTTGACTTGCAATCCGGGGCCTAGAGGGGCATGAGCAGGCAATCTCTGCCTTGAGGCTCGGTTGTCCTATTTAGGTACCAGGTCGGCCTCGTCTCGTTTAGCTTCTCTTTCGTCTCTTCTTGTCTGTCTTCCATCTTATTACACTACATACACGACGATTGTCTTCTAATAACTATCCTCATCTTATCTGCTGCCAGAGCCTTGTGGTATAAGACACCTTTCATTGTCCAACCTTTTTTGAACTGGGACATACAACCTTAACCAACCGGCTTTGCTCTTTCCGCCACTTATTACTCGTTCTCGAAAATACAAGACCGACGTACAGGGTGGGGAAAAAAATAAGGGACCTCGACTTTGACAACTGCTGCAACTACTACGCTACCGCATAGTACAACTACTTATTGTTCACATCACACCCAGTCCTCTCTTCCTTCTTAACCATGGGGAAGCCTAGACTTATCATCCTGATCAGACACGCCCAGTCTGAGGGCAACAGTACGTCACCCACGCCTTCGAAGCCATCCTCCTTGAGCTGTCTCCATCCTTGCGGCTTAACACTAACATGGTGATCAACAGAGAACCGCGATATCCACCAGACGATCCCCGACCACCGAGTCAAGCTCACAGAAGATGGATGGCAACAAGCATACGATGCCGGCCGCCGGCTACGCAAGCTGTTGCGCGCTGACGACACGATCCAGTTCTTCACCAGCCCCTACCGCCGCACACGCGAGACCACAGAAGGCATCTTGGCCACTTTGACCAGCGACGACCCGGAGCCCAGCCCCTTCAAGCGGAATCACATCAAAGTCTACGAAGAGCCCCGCCTACGAGAGCAGGATTTTGGAAACTTTCAGCCATGTAGCGCCGAGATGGAACGCATGTGGCAGGAGCGCGCTGACTATGGTCATTTCTTCTACCGTATCCCCAACGGGGAGAGCGCCGCAGATGCATACGACCGAGTCAGCGGTTTTAACGAGAGTCTTTGGCGCCAGTTCAATGATGACGACTTCGCCAGCGTTTGCGTTCTAGGTACGTCGAGTTCCTTGAGATCGGACTGCAACATGGAAGAGTGGGCGGGAAGCTAACTAATTCTGTTTCAGTTACACACGGTCTTATGTCTCGAGTCTTCCTCATGAAGTGGTACCACTTTAGTGTCGAGTACTTTGAGGATCTTCGAAATGTTAACCACTGCGAGTTTCTCATAATGCGCAAGAACGACAACGGCAAATACCTGTTGGAAAACAAGCTACGAACGTGGTCGGAGCTAAAGAAGGAGAAGGCTACACAACAAGCTCTCTTGACCGGAGGAAACTCCAAACTAGACTCAGCCCCTTCCACCACTCCGCGGATGCCTCCCGATCCCAGTGCACCGCCTGTCGAGATGCGTCGCCGGTGGGGAGGTTGTCCGAATGGCTGCAACCACGACAAGAACTTCAAGATCCGCTCGAACCTTGCCGATCTCGTCAAGACCGACCATATGATCTCGAGCCATGTTACCTCCACCGATGCCATTGTTACCGATAGTGCGAGTGGTAATTCAACAGACGTCGATACCCCAAGTGTCGGTAGCAGCAGCATCGCGCTTACAGATGGGGCCGGGCCTGGCAAGGCTCGAGGAGTCGCCAACGCCTCTTTCAACGGTACCGCACAGCCTAATGGGCCGACAATTGCGAGCCGAAGACCGACAGCCAAGCACATTCAGTCTACCAGCAGCGGGGTCACGCTGTCGCCAGAGGTGGCTCACACTGGTCCGGTCATCGACATAACCAAAGCACGCGAAGAGGTAGTCTCCAGTCCCGACGGCACGCCATCCTTTATCTCAATCGAGGATCGCCTACGAAGCCATCTCAAAAGTCCCAGTGTGCCGCCCCGTCCCCATAGCCATGGTCACAGCCTTCATATCGGTCGTGATGGCGGAGGCACCTACAGTGGGCATAGCAGCAGCGAAACCGAGTTGTCAGAAGACGAGCGGCAAAAGATCGTCAAGATCAAAACACCGAGCGGCGGACTCACACCCCTTGCTGCCCGTCCCGCGCCACATCGCCATTCTAGCCGGGACCGGAGCCAAATGGGCCGTGGTGCCAAAGCCAACCGTCTAGGCGATCATCCTCCCAGTAGCGACGGCGAGCATGAAGCTGATGGAGAACATGAGCCCGACTGTGAGGAAGACGAAGAGAACAGCTGCCAGGGGCAGGAAGAGGGCGCCAAGCTTACCGAGTCAATGAAAAAGAAGCAGAGTCTAGAGAACCTGACGGACGCAGAGAAAGACGACAGAAGTCTACGAGGGAGTGTCTACTAGGAGGTCATTCTGCCCCTTTGCATCTTCTTCCACTTTCTGGTTCTTTTTACTATCACCTTCTACAAATTAGTGGGTCCCACTGACGTAGGACTCTTGGTGTTTTTTTGGTTTCGCAGTTGCGCATTATGTCTTATGTAACATCAAGGACTGATGGGAGTTGATCGGTTGTTTTTGAGGCGCTTTGGGGGGGGGGGGGGGGGGGGTTTGGGGGGGGGGGGGGGGGGG